GGCGTGAGTTTTCAAAGACGTCAAATAGCACACTGTAACTATGTTACTATTATTGACCTCCTTCGGACTGGTGCTATTTTGATGCTTTTTGAAAATTTACTCGTGCATGAATTTATCCAAATTGCACTCGAGACCATCCTGTTTCCTATATACTCATAATAATATTGTGCGCCAAAGAGAAAATGATGTCTGAATTTCAGTACGTTATGGATCCAAATTTAAAGCATTATTACGATGATTGATAATTTTAATTGACAATCTAAATTTAATTTGTTACTTTTTTACGTTTCCCAACTAGCATGAGATACATTTAAATAGAGCTAAATCACTGAACGGGTTTTAAAATTTTAACTCTTTTGAGCAGAAAGAAAAATGCTTGTGATGTTACTCTGTGTGTATATCCACACCGGGCAAGCTTGAAAAGTATGCCTGTCTACGTAGGGAATCGAACCTGCGACCTTTGGAATACTAGCCCAATGCTCTGCCAACTGAGCTACGCGGTCAGGTCGATTCGAGTATGTGATATTTCGGAACCGAGTCTAGTTCCTAGGATCGATTCCCACCGTGGCCAGGCATATTTTTCAAGCTTACCCGGTGTGGATATACACTCAGAGTAACATCACAAGCATCATATTCACATGAGTACACTACACTTATAACACAGAGAGATAAATGCCAGTTATAGGCAGAACGCCCATCAAAACAGTTATCTTACACATGCAAAAAAAACGTCAACGGATAAACAATGCGGAACTATTGCTCTAATCAGAATGTATGAAGTAAAATAATAAACAGCTGTAACGAAGAAAAGATCTAGAATATTTTGTTGATAAAAACATATTTCCTCACTATCCGGTGGGTTAGAGAGAGGCCTTTGAAAGCAATGGACAACGGTATTTGCAGCGGAAATATTAGCGTCACAAGATATGTATAATTGAGTTGCTCGAAGCATCTGTGCATGTGCGTCGGTTGCTCAGTGTGTTTCATTTACTTAATCATCATGTGATGACTACGACCTTACACGTTAATATAGTAATAATTATAATTACTTGGTATATGTTGGAATTTGTTTGCAAAGATGCATGCAACAGCACCTCTAACTTGAAATGGAAACCAATAGTCGTAACTTTTAAGCAGTGTAAGTTTTTCAACGAGTCGTAACTAAAATTAATGAAAAACAGAACATGATTTGTCATTATTTGAGGTGTATGATATTTTTGTTAATGTTCATTGCCCACTATCCGGAGTGTCAGAGGTGCCTGTAATAGCATCGGTAGTTTGGACGTTCTGATTACGTCCAAAATATCTGCAGTAAAAACAAAATGCGAATAATATATTCAATAAAAGTGAGACTGCTAGGCCATAAGATCAGACATTATCCGTGCAGAACTTGAAATACCTGCATGCAGGACCTCCTCGTCTTGTTAACCAGTAAACTATATATATTTTTGAAACATTAAGTGTTTCGAAGTTGTTGTCATGGCAACACGACCTTTTTCTTTTTATATTTCTTAGCAAAATTGAAAAAACAATGAAAAAATATTTATAGGTCCTAAATTGTGTATATTTATGTTTACTTGGCTTATCCACCGAACCCAACATTCTAATTTAAAATTACTTCCACCAGGAGGTCACTGTATGTTTTTATTCGCTTTTCAATGTGTGTCTTTCTTTCAATGCGTTTGTATGTGTTTGTCTGTTACTAATATATTAAAAACTTTGGTAAATTTGGCCTAAAATTGGATGGGGAATTAGCAAACGTTTCTCCAATTACTATGCCGGGTCATTGACATTGAAATGAATATAACTATAGAACGCAACCTTCAGATTAGCTTGTGTCACACACATAAACAATTAGTGAGATCTGTGAACATTGGGGCGATTGATGAATGAATGAATGAACAACTTTATTTAAAGAGGGTAAAAACACATGACAGCAATATAACTGAAAAACCTGTGGCCCTCATATACAATACATACAAAGTTATTAATTCTACTTTAAAACGTCTAAAAGCTACTTAGAGTAAACATGTAAAAGATGTTAGGATTATAAATTTATATATACAAATTATATACAGTACAACTTGCTGATCACAATAATAATTCAAAGCGATCGATGCCCTTATAAGATTTTAAGAAGTATTTTTTAAGGGCAAACTTAAAGGAATTAAAGCTAGGTTTCGTCTTAATATCCTTCGGGAGATTGTTCCATATTTTAATGTTGCTGACCGTTACAGATTTTCCTCGCTCAGTTGCATAATTATATTTAGGACACACGAGATTATATTCGCCATGACGAGTTTGTCTACCATTAATTTCATTGTTTGTTTTAAATAAGTTCTTAATATACTGCCGAGCTTGATCATGCATGCTCTTGTAAACTAAAGTGCATTTGTTAATTCTAACTTCGTCATAAAAAGGTATCCAGTTCAGTTTATTGAAATTGGCTATTGACCTGGAGGAAGTGTCAGTTCCTAAAATTACCCGAGCTGCTCTTTTTTGTAATTTAAAAATTCTAAGCAGATCATTTCGCGAGCAGCAACTCCAAATAGAACTACTATACATCATAACTGGCTTGACGACAGCGTTGTAAAATAGCTTTCTCTCAAGTAGTGGTAAGTATCTTCGTATCTTTCTCAGCAGGCCGATCTTTTCACTAAGGTTTTTACTAAGTTTGTTTATATGCTCTTTGAAAGTCAAGTCTTCATCAATGATTACACCAAGTAATTTCTGTGAAGAAACCAGTTCAATATTTGAATCACTTGCTGTAAGAGGTAAGGAAGATAATTGCATTCGGGATTTAAGGCGTTTACCAGTAATAAGAATTGATTTGGTTTTGTGAGCATTTAGTACCATTCTATTTTTGTCTGACTACTGACATAGTTTGTCTATATCGTGTTGAACTTGTAATTCAGTCGACGCGACAGAGAAGTAGGAACTTGAAGAGAAAGTAGTGTCATCTGCGTATACATCAACAGTTGAATTAGGTATGTTTGGAGGTAGATCATTTATGAAAGCAAGAAAGAGAAGAGGGCCACGAATGCTACCTTGAGGGACACCATGAATTATACATAATGGACATGATTTGAAGCCGTTAATTTCTACAAACTGTGTCCTGTCTGAGAGGTAATTTTGGAAAATCTTGAGATAGATATCATCCACTCCATAAGCGCTTAACTTTTGCAATAAAAGCTGGTGGTCAATCAGGTCAAACGCCTTGATGTAGTCTAGGAAAACAACGCCAGTAACGTGGTTTTTATCAAGGTCAAGAAGGATTGAGTCTAGTAAGCGAATTAGAGCAGTTTCAGTCGAGTGGCGTTTGGGAAAGCCAGATTGCAGGCCGTATAGGAAATTGTTATTGGATAAGTGTGAATATAGTGCTTAGTAGAGATGTCTTTCGTATAATTTTCAGAGGATCGGAAGAACAGATATTGGTCTGTAATTTTGTTTGTGTTCTACACTTCCTTGATTCTTAAAAATTGGGGTGACTTTGGCTACTTTCCATCTGGATGGGAAGGTGTTGGTGGATATGCAATGGTTTATGAGACGTGCGACTGAGCTTGATATGGATGGAGCAGCAATTTTTAGTAATTTAGGACTCAATCCATCAGCACCTGTTGCTTTATTTGCTGGCATAGAATTTAGCATTTGAAGTACCTTTTCAGGAGAAATATGTGGAAATTCAAACTTGATCTTTATCTTTAGAGAGTTTAGCAGAGATACGTTACAAAAAGTAGACTTTATAGATGATAAGAGACGTTGTGGTTGACTAACAAAGAAAGAGTTAAAGATTTCGGCAATGCTTCTGCTTTCCGTTACAAGTTCTCCGTTTTCGTTTAATTGACGAATACCGTTGTTTTCTCCCAATGATACTCTTGATAGATCTTTAATCAATGACCATAGTTTATTTGGGTTTTCTCGATGTTCATTTACAGTTTCGATTTAAAATAATTTTTCTTTTTATTACGGATTAACTGAGTTACTTTATTTTTGGCCAGTTTGAAAATTGACCAGTTATTTGCGTTGTTGGAAGCACGTGCTTGTTTTAGAAGTCTGTCTCTGATTTGAATTTCATGTGTTATATTATTTGTAAACCATTTTGGTTGGATCTTTCGTTTAACTCGTTTCGATATTATTGGAGCGTGTTTGTTAAGGATATTAGTAAAAAAGGAATACCACGAATGAACAATGTCATCAGTATCTTCAAACACGAATGCTGAATCACACGGGGTTTCTGAAATATCTTTAGCAAACAATTCATTATTGAGGGACTTTAGATTTCTGTATTTGAGTGATGTGTGTTCATGTATTTTAGTGCCTGCTGCACCTTGCTCTCCGGTTTTCTTAAAGCGCCTGAGAGCGAATACTGGGAGATGATCGGACAAGCAAACTTTTAGTGTAACAACATTATGCATTCTATCTGGGTGACTTGAGTAGATGTGATCCAAACACGTGTTAGACACTGGTCGGGTGATACACTTGACAAGTTGAGTTAGATTTAGATTTAGATTCAGAAGTGTTTTTACTAGGTCGTGTTTTAAAAAGGAATCTGGATTTAAGTAATCAATATTAAAATCACCCAAGATTACCAGTTCCTTATTTTCCAAATGTTATATTCTTTTTTGGCAGACGGTGGACGGTAAACACCAGATACTAGCAATGGTCGCTTAGATTTGTGCGGACAAATTTCAATCCATATAGATTCAATATCTTTTGATTCCAGATCCATTCTGCGCTTTGCTTCGACGCTCTTATCTACATATATCATAATTCCACCACCAACCTTTCCTTTCCTGTCCTTTCTATACAGAACATACTCAGGTATTTTGTAGTAAGAATCAGGAATGTTCTCATTGCTGAAGGTCTCGGTTAGAATCAGAACATCAAGCTGAAATGTATTCTCGTGTTTGGACCTAAGGCTAAGACAAATTTCCTCGAACTTTGAGTCCGTAAGCCGTTGGATATTCCAGTGACAAAAAGAGAGACCTTTCTCGTTTTTAATGGGACGTAGATTGAAAGGGCCTGGATTTATCGCAATGTCACCAGAATGCAGAATACAAATAAAGGTGTGAGAGTTTTTCAGATTTGTTTGCAGGTCCAAACCATAACGATAGTTGGTCGACAAGTTTAGCTTTCTTAATTTGACATCTCGTGTAGAAACCCAGATGCAGCATTGTTGCTCAGGAAGGATTGCGAGATTTTAACTAATGTGGAAAATGTCTTTTGCTGGTTTTGGAGTGCTTTTGTTGGTTTTAACAAGTGCAAAGTTATTTGTTATTGTTCCATGCATAAATTAAATTAGCATTTTGGGGAATTTTGGCATTTTCTATGGACATGTTGTTTATTTTATCATGCTATATTAAAGGATAGTCCAAACTTTTGTATTCTGGCTGATCTGTGTGTATTTTCAAACATTTGGTAAAGATTTCAATGGAATCTGATTTGGGGAAACCATGAATATGCTGCTTTCTTCGACGCCTTTCGGCGAGCTGTTTACATTGGATTGAGGACAACGAAATGTCGAAAACAGGGTTTTTACGTCTGTTTACGTTTCTTTACACAAAACAACATTTCAAAAGGATCATGTTTAAAAACAAGACAACATAACTGTCGGGAAAGAAGAAAGACGTCCAGGTGCGAGAGTGTAACCTGATACAAATGTCAATCTCACCTTTATATGACAAACTGCTACAGCTGCTAGCACTGCTACAGCTGCTACAATTGCTACAACTGCTACAGCTGCCACAACTGCTACCACTGCTACAACTGCTACCACTACTACAACTAGCTGCTACCACTGCTACAACTGCTGCTACAGCTGCTTCAGCTGCTACCACTGCTACAGCTGCTGCCACTGATACCACTGCTACCACTGCTGCCACTGCTGTCACTGCTACAATTGTTACAACTGCTACAACTACTACAACTGCTACAACTGCTACAACTACTACCATTGCTACAACTGCTACAACTGCTGCCACTGCTATAACTTCTACCACTGCTACAGCGCTACTGCTACCACTGCTATAACTGCTACCACGCTTTTCAAACATACAAGCTGGGGAATTTTGCTGGGCAAATGCCCCCCCCCCAGTCGACTCCCCCCTTGTGCCACCCACGAAATCACATCCCCCAAGGAAAACTTCCTTTTTCCTAAATGTATACAAACAAACTAGCGAAGAATAACAAATAGATAAACGAAAGGTAAGTTTTAGGCTTTATCCTTTGTACTTGTTTAACAAAATCGATTTAAATTGTTATGTTTATTTACCACTAAGTAATGATAAATTATTGCTAATAATTTATTTATTTTTTGTCCGTTTTCGCCTTCTTTTATTTCAAATACAAGTATAGTAAGCATTTGGATGCTCAGAATGTAGGAAATAGCATTTCCGGGCTTCAAATTTCAAAAATTTTCGAGGAGTGTATGCCGCCACACACGTGGCCTTCGGCCATTGCTATCCCCGTCTAATAAGTAATGATAAATTATGGTTAATATTTTTTTACTTTTTGTGCGTTTTTCCTTCTTTTATTTTAAACACAAGTATAGTTAGCATAAATATTTGGATGCTCAGAATGCAGGAATTTGCATTTCCCGCGCGCTTCAAATTTCAATTTCTGGGGAGTATGCCCGCCAAGGATACATGCGTGGTATGTCGGCCACATGACTATCCCCCACTAAAATATTCTTCTTAAAAAAGGTGTTCTGATAAAATCTCGAACAAATTTGTATATGTGTGCTGTGCAAGCAAAGCGGTCGGGTAAATTGATACTGTGCCCCCCCCCCCAAAAAAAAAACTGGATAAAGCCCGTACGCCCATGCATGCTATAGGAATTCCGATAGGAATTTTCAATGAAGGGACAAAGAAGAGAACTTGTTGGATAGCTGAAATAGAGGATTTATGGAATAAAACTATGCAAGGTTTTTTAAATTCAGACATCAGTTAAATAAGCATTTAGTCTGTTCAATCACAGTTAAGTGCAACAAGCATGAATTTTCAATAGTCAAAAATGTGAATTTTAAAATCTAATGCGGTTCCTTGCAGACTAGCTCAAATTTGATTACGAATGTTTTCTGTTCAGTGGTTATTAGACATCTCTCGCATAATCCTATTCCATATGCTAATGTTCTACTATACAGGGTGTCCCCAAAAAGTACCCTCTATAGAAATTTATCCTATTGTTGTTAAGCACAGGATTTTATGCGACTGGTAATTAATAATTCAATTCAATTGTGTTTACGCACTCTAGATCTGGTGTTCAGCATAGTGCTCAGGCATTCAAATTATAACAATAGGATAATTTCTATAGAGGGTACTTTTTGGGGGACACCCTGTATAGTAGAACATTCTAAATTAACGTGTAGATTAATTTTCACTGAAACGTTAAACTCCTACACACATCTGGACATAACAATGTGCAATTTGTATTCTGTTTTGCATGCTGTAGAAATGCCCAGATATTTTTGACCTTGCAACTCAAATTACATGCTGTATAAACGATTACAGTACATGCATGCATGTTGGTATGAGGGTTTAGTTGGGGGTCTGAAAATCAGTAAATGGTAAAATATTTGGTATATTAACGGTAAATCTTTGAATCTGCTGAAAAGTGTTACGAAACGCACCCCGCAGTTTCGTAGAATATTAGCATATGGAATAGGATTATGCGAAAGAACCATGTTTAATGCAATAATAACGTTCTTGTTGTCTCACCACACGGTGTATAAAAAAATGTGCACCCTTTCAAATTCAAATTAGCCATAACCTCTTCAATATAAATAAGATAAAATGTTATATCTTATGCAGATTTGAATAATGTTTAATTTAAACATTTTTCTTTGAGTTGTGTATTTGTTCATACAAATGAAGTTATCCTACATTCCCATGTATACGTGCAGAAGACCTTGAGAATTTATATAATTCTATAATCTATAATTTGAGAAATTATACGGCTGTCAAATTACTACAATAGATTACGGTGAAAGAGTGTACATTTTTTTCATGCATACACCCTATATAAAACGAAGATTGACGAGTCGAGCTCATTTTAGATAAATTAACATTCAACTTCAATTCCCTCTTGGGAATTGTCTACGTTTCCATGTAATTCCCAACGGTGGAACTGAATGTGATTTCGACAGGCAATTTTTATTTGAGGAGTATATGTGGTCATTTCTCATCGTTACGACTTAAAACAGGTACCATGGAACAGCTAAATAACAGACCTTTCGTCCTGTGCAAAAATTGAATTGTTTAGCTAAGTTTATGATGCAGGACAGCCTGTTGAATTTTCGTATAAAAAGGAAGCCAAATTCCTTTTGCGTGCCTGCAGGGATGGATTTACTTCGTGGGAGAGGGTGCATTCTGAATATAACTATATACAAGATAATTTAGATAAGTTACTTTTTGTTGTTTTTTTGTTGTGCTCTCAGGGCCGTTCCTATAGATGCGATAATTGGGCTGGGTATGTGTATATATTCATGTTCACATATCGTAAAAACAATCGCTTTCAAACGAAATCCGTTGGGCAGAACACGAATATATGAATATACTCCCCCCCCCCCCAATTATCGCGCTAGGAACGACCTTATGTGTTCTTCGCTTACACTTGTCAAACTACAAGTACTGTATTTATAGCATGAAAGTAACAACATAATGCCAATATAATTAATATATTGGCAGATTTACTTACAATCCAGGTGATCTCGTGTTCGTATTTTAGCCAATCAGCGCACAGAAAGGGTCGTCCGAATAGAAATCCATTTTGATGTATTCAGTCAATTATATCTTTCATTATTCTTTATGAAACTAGTTGAAATTTTGTAATTATGTTTGGTTATGAGAGCTATAGCTCTGACAAAAATATGGAATCGAAATAAAGTATATTACAGGAGATATTCAGTTGTTTTAATCATAAAATGGATTTCTATTTGACAACTAGTGCCAGTACTTTCCCGCGTATCAAGATCACCTGGATTGTACCACTGTAGTCAGCGAGTGTAGTGACATAGTCTGAATAACTGAATATATTATTAGTTTTTTGGGCGATTCTCAAGTGCGGTGACCGAAAGGATAGACGGACGGACGGACGGACGGATGGATGGATAGGTAGATAGTGACACATTATCGACGTTGAGTTCCGGATCGAGTATTCGTGAACCACCGGAAGCTATTATCCGCCTTTTGACACTGTCGTTATTCGCAATCTTTCGGGCAAAAACCCGCTTATTTTCGTAGAATACACCAACGACTAATACCACTTACTTTGAGCTAAAAGAAGGAATATATGACTGTTTTGTACTAGAAATACAAACGGAAAAGGTCCTAAAAAACAAATTCGTTCAACTCTGACAACTCAGGAGCGGAGTAGTAAAATAAAATTAAAAGCGGTGTTTCCATTATGAAAAATGTATTGTTCCATTTTTCAGTCGTATTCATTGGAAATTAATTAATTACCTCCGCCAGGAGGTTATGTAATCATCTGAGTTTGTATGTGCGTATTTGTGTTTGTGTGTTTGTCTGTCAGCACAATAACTCGAAAAATACCAAACATATTCCTACGAATTTTTGGAATGCATTTCCCATCGGCTAAGAGAGAACTGATTAAAATTTGGTTGAATTTGGTTAAAAATTGAACGAGAAATGAACAAAATTTTGTCCAACCTCGTTCCCAGGGTCTCTCCGTCTGTCATCTGGGAGAGACCCTGGCTGCGGCTGGTCACGTGCCTCCCAGATTCTGGGAGGTAAATTTAATTGTAACTGTGAGAGGGGTGGGAAAGGAGAGTGTTTGTAGCGTCTTAAAATTGCAACTTTGGGTGATGAAATTTACTGTTAAATTTGCAACAAGAAATCGTAATTATAAAGAGAACTCTTGAATTATATTTATGTCGTGACGTTCTACTCTATAATCTGGTGTCGAGTTACAATTCAAGCAAGTTGGATCAGATTTCATTATAGACTTGCCAAAGAAAGCACGCTTGCCGCTTGTGCAGCGTGGCAATATTAAACTGTGATTAAACCTACAAGGAAATATATATCTCTAGACCGAACAGTGTGGTTGTTATTTATTTAGTATTAAAGTTTATCCTGATACTCGGACCAAAAGAATTTATTTATTGATGAGATGTGGAATTGCAACGAAATAGCGAGATCTTTTGATTTCCGAAATATCGCCAACTGTATCCAGATTGTTGATCTATATAAAGGCCTTATCAAAAAACTCACAGCCCGTCAAAAGACTATAAAATTGGCCCTTGGCATTGCTGAATCCAACGATCATGGTATATGTCAAAGTATAGCTGTCTGTTGAAAATCTACGGTATTAAAATCATACACCAAAGATAAGTCAAACGGCAAATTATATGTCACTGTATTATACATGTCTTTCAATGAGCACTGTTTAGTAGTGTTCACCACCTTTATAAATTTTGTAAACAGCTTTCGTTTTGACATGAATAAGCTTTAATTTTTTGCTTTATATGCATTCTTAATATATACAAGTGAGATTTAAATTTTTGCTTTGTGAAATAGAATACCGTTATTTTTTAATGGACAGCTTGCATCGTCTATATCATATCCAGGATTGCTTGTGTGTAAACGCATTATTCACTATATGACATTGACACTATCAAATAAATATAAGTAGCAAATGATTAATGAGTTAGAGATAAACAGGTGATTCACAATGAAAACTTTAAAAATGTTAGTAGAAGTCGAGTTTTCTACTAGAAAACTCGAAAATTTATGTCTATTCGTATGACGCCAAATGACGGTCTGTGCGCATCTGACACTGTAAATTTGTGATATAGATTATAGTATATTAGCACAATATAATGATTAATAGAGACCAAGAAAAAGGCTAAAGTCTTACTATAATTACCGAATACGAATTTATGCAGTAAATCCAGATAAATCAATGACTGAAATTTCCTCTATGCTTATGGACATTTCTCTGTTCGGCTATTATCAAATGTTTACATTTGCTAATATTTGGGCAGTCCTAATCTCCTAGACAATACTGTTTCTTTT